CCGACTTCCCGTCAACCTTATGTTCTACTTGAACGCAAATGGAACTGCTTTTGAGAAATGCACTCATTTGCAAATCGATTTGGTTTTCACGAGAGACTCAACTGTTATAAACACCTTGTGAAAAGTTTCCTTCATAAAAATATACTGCAATATCTCGAATATCGTGTCAACTGAAACATGGGGCGGCCTGTGTTCAACACATTCAGTTGTAGAATATCATAAACAAGAGATTCGGTTGATTCTCCCGCGAAAACCGAATTGATTTGTTAATGACCGTTCTGTTCTGTTTCTTCAATATTTGGAATCGTCAAAAATATGTATCTCCATGAAGTTTCGAATCCACGACCTCCCGATTATTAATTTGGACAGAATAGTCCGGCTACAAGCGGTTGAACAGCAATGTGATTGGCTCATAGCTAGGCAGGACATTGCAGCACTCATCCTTCAGTCACGTGGTCATCAACTGACTGGCTTTCTTAGTGAGGCCTTCCCATCTTATGAAATTACTCTTCCTCTGAGCTACTTATTTTTTGTTGGTAGCATGAGGGGATTGAGGAATGTTCAACTGAAATTTCTACCAGTACTTAGAACAGACACAGTTGAAGTCTGAATCCAACTCACTTCGTTTTCGACTGCGTAATTTACGCTCAAGAAAAAGACCTGGCAATAGGGCCATCAATATCCCCGGGCTTGATAAACAGCTTTACGGCAAATTTCAAACAGAAAGTTTTAAACGGACTTTCGGATTCGCCTTAAAGTAAGTGAAGTTGCAATTATCTTAATAGTCTAAATGCCTCCATTAAATTTTTCCGTCGTTAGAGTAAACTTCGGACGCACCACACTTCTTAGACTGTATGGAAGATAAGGTTGTCAGGTAAGTAAAAAACCACTGCGTACCATTACCAAATTTTAGTAAGGGTTATTTCGAACTTTCCCTCCGTCCACCACAAAGTGGTATTAGCTAATATTGCCTTCTTGATATCTGGCCGGATAGGGACCCTATTCACACAAGGAGCTGATCATGCAGCAACCCAAGATGAAGTAAAGAACACACTTCAATAGAGTAGATACCTAGCCAGTTTGCTTAGGCTTTACTCAAGAAGGATTGTGACTTGTGGCAAAAACACACAGAGGAGGGTTGGGAACGTCGCTATTCCAGTCAAACCATAGACGTGAAAAGTCTTTCGAGGGAACCTAAAATCGGTTAGTATGTGGGAAGACGTCCAGAAAGGAACGACTCAGCGCTCTGCGCTGATGCCATTGGGGGACCGATTTGCGGCAAAAGCAACCACGGACAGAAAGCGTAGATTAGTTTCACTTACAGGATGAAATCTCCACAAAAATCCCAAAGCTCTTCACACTACCAACATTATATAAGTAGCTCAGTGGAAGAATAAACTTCACCCGATGAGTTAAACTTCCATCTAAGAAGTCGTTGCTCGATGAGCCAGTCAACACGTGTGACCGCGTGATGCGGATCCCGTGATTGGAGGATGAGCGGCGCTATATCCTGTCTAAGTGCGAGTTAATCACACTGCTGATTAGCCACTCGTGGCCGAACGGTTAAGTGTTCAAACTACTATCCGGGAGGTCGCGGGTTCGAGACTCTTCGGAGTTTCGTCAGATGCGCACTGCTGATGATTCCCAATACGGATGAAACCGGTGTACAGTGCTTCTCGGCTTTTCAGCATAGATTGGCTTCACTTACAGGACAAAATCTTCACTAGAAATAGTTGGGGGATTTCATACCAGTCATTAAATGCAGGAAAAGTAAACAGGCCATCGAAAACACAGACGAATATTGAGTGTTACTGAAGGACTCAGCAATGGCGGATATGCAGAAAGAAATCTAGAGTATTTTTAGGTTTAGAGCCAGGGGGCTACAATTCAAGTGATGGCGGCTGATTCGGCTAAGCGGTGGAAATCACCAAGCGTTCCAGTGTGAACAGAATAGAAGAGAGCGCTAAAAATGGTTATAGATCCGTTGAACTGACACACAAAATTGTACCGTTATCAGGGAAGAGGATTCATCAACAGAAGTAACTTATAGCAGACGTAAATAGATTAAGCTAAGCAAAAGTTCACATAATGTCAAACTCCAGTAGCAGTTGTGAACCGACACAGAGCAATGAAATTTACCAAGAAGAGTCACCAACCGAAGCACCTTGAACCGCAAAACCAGCCTGATCAAAAAGATGTCAAATTCATCCTAACCCAATAATTTTTGGACACCCACACTAACCAATAAAACAGCTAACCGACGTGCAAAACTGATGTGCTAATCTAGTCGAAAAAAGATCTTGCTGACTGATTCCCTGTCTACCTTAGAACTTGATCAAGCTAGACGCCTATTCACCTGGCCTGACAAGGATCTTCTGTCAAAGGCGGAACGCTATCCAGCTGCAAGTAGACTTGATGTTTACCAAAACCTACTGAAACGAGAAGTGTGTTTTTGTTCGACACTCGTATGGCAAACGAAGTTCAACGCATCTGAAGTCACAATTGATGGACCTGTATGGTTTCGGACGTCAGTTCTGTTGAATTAACCTTGGAAGATAGGAAAACATGCGGGCTCACCTTGCCTCACGGTAATCAAAAGTCTCCCTTTTTCTTTTTATCTGAAACAAAACTTTGGGGAAGGAGAAAGTTGTAAAATAACGCTTTGGACTACTGACGCATTGAGGCCATGACCACTTTCCCGTAAAGTCTGACTGCATGGGCGCTTTGATTTCTGCATACTAGTGACCTTGAAGACCGAGTGCTAGCTGAAACAGACTGGTAGTTAACAGAGGACGTCGATTTGAGACGTAAAATTTCTTAGAATTGACCACACGCCTTCCATTGCCCTAGCTTTCACTTATTTATAAAAACTGACGTCAAGTAAGCTCAGGCAGGCCATATCCTTATACTCACTTTGGTCCGATTTCATTGTCGGTTTTCGCGTTGTCAGTAGCGGGATGCTTCAAGTATTTTCATGACATCTGAGCAGTCTAAACAACAGTCCTGTTGATATCCATCCATTGTTACTTTCAGTCATTTACTACACAGTTACCCTCCGTGGCCAACGGATTCCCGTCCGAGATTCTATAGTCAGAATTTCACATATATACTATTTCCAGTTGTCTTGGAGACATTCTGTTGATTCTTTAGCGCATCCCCTGTCGTACACATTAGGACACAATTAGTCTACGAACATGTCCTTCTTATCTACTTGGATTACCATCGATATTCGTAGTAAGACACAGCCGATTAACAATAAACTTCTACGCTCTTTGATAGCAAATCTCCACCGACTGTGGTTTGCCAATTTCCGTCCAAACAATTCAAATCCGTTCGCTCGAGAACTGATCAGATTGTGAACAAACTTCTCCTAGTTTTCTGAACATCAACTGTCCAACTCTCATGTATCTCATCATCTCGACTCTTGTTCATCCCAGAAGCGCAATTCTATCAGAATCATCTTTTACGAAATCGGACATTTGAAGCAGACTAATCGTTGTCAGTTTTGACAATCAATTGTGACTTTTATTCGCACGTCCAATCAACCCCATCCCCTGTCCGAAATCGTGTCGTGCAGGCTACCGCACTGGTCCACAACCACTAAGGATCTCCATTAGTACCTGTAACAGTTAACGTCAAAGGAGACCAACAGATTTGAAGGCCTGAGAGCAGCGTACTCCGTCCAAACTTACGCGCTTACATCCACGAAAACATATCAACAGGCTAGTGAATATGCGTCCATCCATGAGTGGGCGTGTGTGTGTGTATTTCAGCTAGCCAGCATGCACAGCCGTAATCATGCAAACGCCAAAAGCGTAATCAAGTTGGACAGCAATTTCGAAGTGACATTGAAATTTTCTCGCATCCTCTCTCTCTCCAGTTTGTCAGTTTGAATTTTGTTCTCCACATCGGAAGCATTTGCCATGTGCAAGGCTCTTGTGACTTTTTTACTTAGCAGAAATAATTCTGCTATTCGATGGTAGGGTCAAACCTCTCTAATCACGAATGAATAGGCTGACATGCCTAAGAGAGCTGGTAAATAGCTTCTGAGGTGAGTATATCTGGTTTCAATCAGAAAAACAAAACAGATTTTCTTACTGCGGTATGTTTGGGCCAGAAGACTCAACTGTACTTCATACTCTTCGCAGCACAGGGTTGTGCAGCAAAACCGACAATAGTAGCTGGATTATTTTGGCATGACAAGCCCTTACCTTGTTGGGTTGCTTTATCTGAATCAGAGGATAGTTGAAGTTTCTATTTCTCAGTTACTTTAGTTTTATAAAGAAGAGTCCTACAAATTATTCTACTCACAAGGTTGCTGAAAACTCTTCGACAGCCCACGACCGGTTTTGCCCTTCTCAGGGCTCATCAGGTAGGCGCAGTCCCCGACTTTCCGTCAACCTTATGATCTACTTGAATCCAAATCGGACTGTTTTCGAGAAATATACTCATTTGCAAATCAATTTAGTTTTCACGAGAGACTCGACTGAATCTCTCGTTTTATGGTATTCTAAAATCGAATATGCCGCCTTAAGTTATCTCGAATATCGTGCCAACTGAAACAAGAGACGGCCCATGTGCATCACACTCAGTTGTAGAATATTATAAAACGAGAGGTTCAGTTGAGTCTCTCGTGAAAAACAAATTGATTTGCAGATAAGTGTATTTCTCGAGAACCCCTACAAATTTGTCCACATTTCCAAAAAACACTATAAGGTGCCGCTTGTTGTGAGATTGCCTTGTTTGCGGATAGGTTACAAAGAACCCACGAATAACAGACTGTGTTAGGGGGTTCTGAAGGATAATCGATCTCCTTATCTACCAATAAATGATCTTTCTTGGTACAGGGTTGCCAGAATGGACACAATCTCTGGCGAGACCAACGCTTTACAAGCTTACATTAGCATCAGCAATAGCAATATGAATTCAAGCGACCACCATTTCCGAGAAATATTCTTCAGGGTATTCAACTGCGTGCAACCAAAGCCGACCTTGGGCTTGAAGTATCCAATCAGAAACGCCCTTTGATTCCACCCGGTCACCGCGAACGTGCGAAGCGTCAAAGTGCCAAGCGGGCCATGGATCGATTAAAATCTATTGTATTCAAACATCCAGTAAATTGTGTCAATACAGGCGAACAGTGCCACCTGAAGTATAATAAAAACCCATAGTTTTGTCACGATAAACTAGGCTCTCCTTTGGATCGCCTTCCTTCAACGCAAACCTCCCTCTGACCAGAGAGACAAGAAGAATAACTCAAGGACAACAGAGGAGAGTAAGAAACGCCGGTCGTTTCATCATAAAAGATAAGCCTGTTCAAATCAAGCAGTCGTTTGCAACATTTCTTTCTAATGAGCACAGCAAGCGGTTAATATAAGTGATTCCTCTTCAGACATTTCTCAAAAACGTTTGAAACAAATTGCTTGTACGCAGGAACACCCAGAAAACCAAAAATCATTACTTTTGTCCCCAAAACTCGTAGCGACTAGCCTCACTCTTCTCCACCTGTACAAACTCTATCTCAAATTTTAAAAAACCGCCGTATTCACAATACTGATTGGTTTAAATGATAAAAACGGATTTCTACAAGAGTCCTCGGTTAGCTGACCCCAACCGAATCCAAGAGTTTTCAGATTCTCATTCAAAACCACCATTTTGCTAATATGTGACTACACGCTGTCAGAATAATTATTTCTTGGTGTTTAGATAAATAACGGTCAGAGACAACTCTTCCTGCTTGGCTTAGCAGAAAGCAGTGTTTTCCATCCGGTCGGTATACACTGCTAGTTTCTACAGCGAAATAAAAAGTACTAGAAATTACTTTCTGTGCTCATTTTAGAACTGGAAATCCGAAACAATTGTGCATTTTTGCCAATCACCAATAGTCAGCTGCAATCATTTTTGCCAGATCACCTCAGGGCATCGATCAAATGTTCGAAGCAACGTACAGCTTTCATCCGAACTCGTTGGATTCACTCATCAACGTTCAACTGTATTGCAGAGGAAACGTTATTTATTACGCTCCTTTTTCGTGCCAAATTCACAACGTGTGTATATTTGGGACGAATTGTTCTCAACTGATCGAAATACTCCGAGTTTACCTGTTTCTCGTAACAGTATTGGTAATGCATTGTGCAAGAACCATAGGAGTGCTGCGAAGCCCTCTGGCTGCTATCTGCTAATCTGTTTTCCAGCTGAACGGTATTCAGACATCTCCATTAATAGAGATAATGCTGTTTCTGGTGGGTGCTGTGTTGACCAGGCTCTCAGCATTCGGTAAATATTGACATGTCACCTTCAACAGCTGTTTTAGACTTAGCAGAACATTGTGCACTGTAGACCATCGTTTTATATGTCACAGTATTATCTAATATGGCAATCCTGATGAAGTGGTACAGCTCCTGCTGTTTATAGACAGCGACACAATTCTACTCAACTGTGTTCTGATGATGCCGCTCCGACTGGGAATGAAGCTCGAAGAACACGGTCGATTGAAAAGTGCATCACCTGGATGGGATTAAGTCTTTCGGCAACGCAGCTAAGCAGTAGCCTAATCATACAGAACCTCAGCTCCACCATACCAAACTAGTAATATATATCTTGATCAATTTTAAGATAAACAGCAACTGACGTGCGAGAAGTTCCTTCTTCGGGTGACTATCATTGGATCGGTTGGCTTGTTTGACTACCACTGATCGCTCAATCGACCTAATGGTCTACGAGATAAAAACCCCAGCGAAAATTCCAACACTGAAGGATGTCCTGTTGCACAGAACGGTGATAATCAAAAACGTAGCCCTTACCCATTGAATATTCACATTAGTTTGAAAATTATTGATGTCATCCTTCCAATAGGTACAATGTTCACCAGCGTTTACAAGGAACAGGAAAAAGTGTGCAAGCATCGCAACGGTTCAGTTGAGTTGTTCGAAAGGTGAGGTAAAACAGTTGGTGAACGTTTTCTCCGAAGCTAGTTTCGATATAAAGGTAGCCGTAATTACATGAGCTATCACTTGTTTGGCTTCAATTTCGCCTGAACCGACTGTCGCACTCGGAAGTTTGTCCGAAAGGTAAAACAGTTGGTGAACGTTTTCTCCGAAGCTAGTTTCGATATAAAGGTAGCCGTAATTACATGAGCTATCACTTGTTTGGCTTCAATTTCGCCTGAACCGACTGTCGCACTCGGAAGTTTATTGGCCGCAATTCAACTGAAGTTGGTTCACCTAGCTGTATGAACTATCCACAGTAAACAATAAAAGGACATTTAATGCTAATACCAACACTGCAAAAATGTCTCTACAACATTGCTTTGAACAGACCAGAGGGCTATGAGCAGCTCTACACAACACACAGTTTTCAAGGCGGAAAATAATGAATTGCGGAACTAACGGTTTTCCATGTTTTTTCAGACGGAGCGCACCTGTCTGAGTGTGTGTGCCCCCACCCCCATCCCACCTGTGTCGCCTTGTGTTCAAGATGAACTAGCCGAAACAAACTTTTGCAGGTTGTTGACAAAGTCACTCCGGTTTGGTACTGTTCTGTTTTCGGTAGCTCCGGAAATTGTTCCAAACGCTAACAAGCCTGTTTGGTTTTTTTCTTTTGCACCTAACCCCAACATACACACACAAAAGTGAAGACAGGGGACATCGGTTTCCCGTACACACGCAAACACAGTCAGATTGGTTCGACACTTTTGCAATCAACTTTTAGTTCTACTATGTTAGTTTTTTCTCCATATTGCTCGTGTTGTGTCTTGGGGTGTAGGTAAAACATGCTCACGCAATCCAGCCCCTTTCGCTCAGTTCTACATGTCATGCTCAACACGAAGATAAATTTCCACCAGGAACTATGAGAACGCCTAATTAAATTAACGCTACACGTGCGTGAATGAAAGCACCAGGAAGTATGTATGGGGGGTGATCTACACGCTATCCCACCCAGGTTTGTTGTGAGACAAAGGTTCGAGCAAGTAAAAGAGAAATGGTTATTTTATTGCAATTGCACATTTCTCAAAAGAACGTGGTTACGAAGGCTGTTGATGTGCTTAATCATATCACTAATTTTTCAAAACTCCTTTGAAGTCATGGCTATCATTCCAATCTTCAGAGAAACCGCTTTGGTGAGCTCGAATTCTCACGAGCAACGACCTTAGAGTAAGCAGATTACTTCAGATTGTTCTCTAGAAAGTGGGCTTGGTGTTTAGGATTGAAAATTCTGTGGCACCAAACTGAAAAACCAAAGATCTCAAAGGTTCGAAACGGCCACGGTACTACTGCACTCTTGTTCTAATCAACCTCGTCAAGAAAAAAATATTAGGATATGAGTTCATAATAACGCCTCACTCACCGAACAGGAAACTTTTTCTGGAATAAAACTCACGGAGGCGTACTACTGCCGTGGCATGTGAGTAGTATCGCCATTGGGGGCACTGGTGTTAGGAATTATCTATTAATTGGAAGTCATTTCCTTTTCTGGCGCCAAATATCCATAAGATATTCTAAAACGTTTCGAAATACCTATATTCATGTTGACTTTTTGACATCTTGTGAAAATCCGCTCTTCGCTCGTGTCTTTGACGGTTTATTCACTTTGTTCGCATCTGATAATCACCCTGAGCCTAAAACGTACGGTTGACAGTTCCATACAAAACTTTGGCGTCATCTCCTCGCCAGATCGGGTCGACAAAGACCTACTTCGCCGGGGTACGCAGTTAAATAATAATTAATTGACAGTTGGCTGTTTGTCACTCGTTTCCTGTGAGCCGTACAGGTGACCTGACCGATGGATTCCCGACTTAACCAATTATCCCTCAAGAACATCTTCAAGGCGGTCAGCTTTACAAAAGATTTCAGAGTAAATGTATAACCTTACAGTGGTTTTAAAACATAACTTGTATTTTCCTGTTTGACTCTGGCTTCCTTTTCTTATCTTGTACCCCTATTCGCGCACTGTTTGAAGTAACGAACATGTCCACTGTTTTCGACTAGTGGTTTTTGTGGAAAGGGCACTGACAGATAAACAAGACTAGTGAATCTGGCAGGCCTCAGTGTGGCAAACAAACAACCTTTATTCTCTCCGACTCCCTGCAATTAGTCCCAACATTCACTTATGTTGTGAGGTTGTATTCCAAAACCTTTGTGTTCCTACCCATCTTTCCGTATTTTGTAGCTGCAAGAGCCGGTTGATAAATTAGTCGGAAACGCTGCCCTTGCTCGCAATACCCGTGAATACTATAGACGGGATTTTTATAGAATACTCAGCTGGAGCTCCCTCACTGCATAAACTGACCTCTTGCACATCTGCTGTCCACGATCACTCAAGAAAACACCCGAAGGTTGCATCTTTGAGCTCAGAAATAAGTACGCGAGGTAATGGATTGTCATCATGAAAAAACGACTAGGATTCCCACATGTGAACTGAAAGTTAAGAGACAACGTTTTGTTCAAGAAGCAAGCGAGGCTGAAACTTCATCTTCTTCGGCAGGATGATATCATATTTCGGTAAAAGTGGAAATACCTCAAACAAATTGGAAACCGAAAAAAAAACACGAAAAAAGGGTTCATCAAGGATCCACGGACAAAGTGTACACAACTATGCAAAATTCAATCAACCATACACCTGTCAACAAAATCAAAACTGCAAATTACTGACTGGTATGCTGTCGTGGAATGGGCCGAAAACTGGAACAGTTTATGAGTTATTTCACTCCGATTAGTCTTATTTTTGCCCAAGGGCAAGATGTTTAGGTAATTCTTTGTCCACAATAGAATCTTTTTTCCACCTGAGTCCCTCTGTAGTAGTGAATAAGATGACCCAGCCGGTACAGCACGTGAAGTGCACTGGTACGCAAAGAACACTCAGAAATTTTCGACTGGTTGGTTCCTACAAACTATGAGATTGTTTTAACAAGCAAACACTTAAACGGGTTTTAACCCTCGGATTTTTTTCCCAAAAGTGATCCCTGAATGAAGGACAAAACGTCTGACCAGGGAAGTAGACAATTAGTGGTTTAAAAAATCGAAAAGTCTCAAAAAGATTAGCAAACCAGCTGGGGAAAAAACCCCGGCGTTTTGTTCCACTGCATTAGAAATTTTCATAGGGGCGGAACAAGACA